CTTAATTCCCCTTTAAATTTCGATATAATTTGATTACTATTCAACCAAGAGAATAATATAAACGATTAATTATTACTCAGTCACGTAGAATAATTTAATTTGTTCATTGACGTACGATTTGTAATCATTTAATCTACATTTCAACTATTGTGTTTTGGAAATTCAATGAAGGCATAATATAATAAAAAACGATGTTGCAAACAAAAAAATGTTCGAATTCATTTTTTCGTTAATCTTTTTTCATATAATATCAATAACGATTTGATTGTTGAAAAAAAAAATATATTTAATTCTGTAACTCCCGAAGTATTATTCTATAACATTTTGCAATTTCTCTTTGTTATTTATTTAGAAATTTTGCTGTGTCTCGTATGTCACGTGTCACATGTCACAAAAATCTCAAAAATCAAAAATTACCGGGTGGTCCGTAAGCGATTAAATAAAAAATTCCTATCACTACATTGTTCAGAATTAAATAAATTTTTAGCTCTTTAAAATAAGAATAAGAAGATGTTATCCAACAATTCAAAAAAATCAAAAATTTTTATGGGACAATGATGTTAAGTACTTGCCTTGCATAAACGGGGAATGTCATAAGAATACAAACGAGTGAACCGAGTTGAGATAAAATTTTAAAAAATTGTAGTGATTAAATTATGCGTAAGCTCATTAGTATTGTTTTCTTAAAAAAAGAAACTTTATGGAAGATTTTCTTCGCAAAGAATTAATTATCACATCCCGTACAATTAAAGAAAAATTTAAATTTACATATTATCCATCGATTCTGTTACGATCTTCTTTATTAAGGAAAAAATTTTTATACATAAGAAAAAAAAAGTAAATAATAAAGAATACAAAAAAAATTATAAGATAAAAGTTGGTTCAATAATCTCAAAAGATGTGATTGAGAAATGTCTTTTTATATTTACAATAAAAATTTTTTTTTTTGTCCTCTAAGAATCTTTTGATTCCCGGCGGTATGTCAAGGATATTCTTCATTTTCAAAAAAATTTTTCCGTACGTAAAATCGCTTCCTCTTTACTTTCATAAAATCATAATCATCATCATCTCACAACGTTAATGATTTCTTGGCAACTACTTCTCTCGTAGCTTCACTTCCTCTTGAAGTTGATTTTGAATCCTCGTTTATTATTATACTTTTGCCTTTTGACCAGATTCATAGATAAACATTTTGTCATTGGCTCAATCTGTAATGTAGATATCTTATAACGCGATAGTAGACGTGCTGGCTCGATCGTAATACTTGAATGTTGCGAAATCTCATCATCTCTTAAAAAGCGTGTAGAAGAGGAGTTGGAGGCGATGTAGGGTGAAGGTGAATCGGACATAGAAATTCTCCAGTTTCTGCATCTATTATTGCGGTATCTAGAAATGTTTCTATGTATATATACAATTATAGGGCCGTGATAAAGAGTATTACAAGAAAGGAAATCACTATTATGATGGGAATACGATCATTTTCTCGTATAGAGGCAGAAGAATTCTCCCAGAATTGACAGATCATCTAAAGAAGTTGGTAAAGAGGGGGAGGAGTTTTCTGTGTTATTATTGTATCGATTATAATGTTTCAAATGTATCTATTACTGTTGGTTCTAAGTTTGAAATAAAAGAAAGAAAAAATGATAAAACATTTCAAAGCATTAGAAGAATTAAAATATTTCTTTTTCTTGTTTTTTTTTCCACGAATTATTTTAACTAACCTATGGTTGTTGATTTTATCGTACTTGAAATTGGATAGCTTATAATTATGTGAACATTAGACGTTTTTTATGTAAGGAGGAAAAGGTTTTCAATGAAAGATTTTCAGAATTTGATTTTATACTAATTAATTTATACCCAGTTTCAATTGACAGAGTTATAAACAACGTGCTTATTTTGACGGAAAAGAAAGGGATATGAGAAATCCTGAATAAATTTTTTTTTTTTTTTTGATTCTGCTATTCTATTTATGAGAAAATTTTTGTTTTTACCTTGATCTGTGATAGCGACATCTAAAAAATAAAAAATAATTTTTTATTAAAGTAATTCAGTGACGCATGTATTCTAAACAAGTTCATGAGATACTCTATGATACCCGATTACACATGGGTATTAATCCAACATCTAAAATAAAATAATTTTTTTTTGATTAGAGAAACCTGAAACTCTAAATAATTCAGTGACGCATGTGTTCTAACAAGTCCATGAGATATGCTCTAATGAAACCCGATTACACATGGGTATTAATCTAAGAATGTCTTTGAACAATTGACGCATTAAGTGTAAGCATGGGTATGAAACTTACCTTTATAATTTAAGTTCGATATTATCGCAGAAAACTTCCTTTAATAATATTTTGTAAATATAGTTGTCATTGTAATGGTTGGTTAAAATATTTTTGTTTATTAAAGTGTAACAAGCAAATGTTATGATAAATAATGAAGATACGTTCCATTTTTTTGATTTTGTACTAAAACAAAAATTGGAAGAAAGTGTTGAAGTTGTTTCATTTTGTGAAATTTTTTTTTTCAAAAGTATATTAGGAAGATAAATAAGACACGTAAAGTATAAAATATATATTCAGTATGCGTAGCGTAGTTATAAAGATCATGCTGCTTTAGAAATATTAACTTTTCAAGTCATACAATAAATTTCCTTATTTGAATGTAACTCACCATTTACATCTAAAGACTCATTATCGTTATTTGAATTGTGATTTTATATTAGTAATTTAAAAAGAAAGATTTTCACGTGATTTTAACTTGTAAAAAATTTATGCGAGTTTGTTATAATCATGTGATTTAGTAATCAAGTGTAACTGAAAATAATAAAAATTACAATGTAAGAAAAGTATGACGATTAAAAAGGTGACTATATAGGTCGATGAATCTTGTTTATTTTATCGAATAACAAAGTTCATTTGCAATAATTTGTAAATTTTACTTAGGATATAACTCAAACAACTTTCTTTTACTTTAAATTATTAATATTTATGTATAGTAAATTCATCAAAACTATGTAATCATTAACGAATTTATATGATTCAATAATGTTTTAATTTATTTCAAAAATCAATAAAAATGCAAACCTGCCAGATTAATATTTTATATAAACTAATGATTGTACTTTATTATATAAAAACGATTTGTTCATTATCCTTGAACAATTTCTATTTCATGATAAACAAAGTTCTTTCAAACAATAAAGAAATCATTCGAGAACAATGACGAAATTATATGTTTCTGATTAACAAAGCAAGTATAAGGTAATGATGTTATTTCAGAAACTTTGCTCAAGATATTGCTTCTAATACTTTTTTTACTAAAGTTTTAAAGGATTCAATCAATCTTTGCAATCTAATTATGTGTTCTAAAAAAAAATTCAATGATATCCTTCTTGATAAATTGGTTTAAAAATAATACTTACAAAACAAGAATTCTTCATTAGGCAACTAGCAGTCAAAAAGTAAGCGTATTTCAACACAATATATTTTATATATTCTTTAAAATAGCTCATTAACAACTAACTTTATTAATTTTAAAAGCAAGTTAAAGAAAGGTAGCAGAGAAATTTCAAAATATTATCCTTTTTAGGGCTTAGTATCTATATAATTTATGCATCTATATATAAATCAACATTTATATTAATAAAATTTTCTCTCCTTAGATGATGATCAAAATTTAAAGACTTTTATAATAAGCCAATAGAGGTACAGTTTTAATAGTTTTAATTTTAATCTAAAGTAAGTGCCAATATCAAGATTTGATCAATAATTCTATATAGTTGCTTGGTTCTTTGAAATATGTTTTAAAGTTATTCTAGAAAGATATTAATTTCTAAGTAGAAATTAAAGGACTAGAGTTACAACTTTGAATAGCAAAACCATGAAAATGTCCATATCCACAATATCAGAATAATACAAAATACATCTGAAATTAATTGAAAAAGTATAAAAAAAATGGACTAGATTATTGTAATACTTTGATTCATTTATTATTACGATTAATCTAAGATTTAATACTTTCATACTAAGTTAGCATCTTTATCAAAAAATCACTAAGAATTATCTGATTACTTATAAGATACAAAATATATAAGGTTTAATACTTCATATTATCTTTGAACAAATAAGAAAGGTCAATAATATTGTTAATTTAAATATTCAAAAGATATTATTAAGTATACTTATATATGCAAAAATAATCACAACTAATCACTAGTCAAAATAGTCCAAATCGGCTAAAAATCAGATGGCTGATTTTAGGCTGATTTTAATACTATTTATGGCTGATTTACCATATTTTCTGATTAGCATAAACAGGTGTCGATAGACGCCAATCAACTTCAATCAGACATGGTCATTCAGAACTTAAATTCAACCCTAAATCAGCCTAAAACTGGCCTTAATTTGACAACAATTCAGACATCGATAGATGCCAATCAATTCCCT